CTTCTTCTTCTTCTTCTTCTTCTTCTTCCTTGCCTTCATGGCTATGATGACATCTTCCTTTTGTGTGTTCTTTGTGGGTAAACCAAAGCAACTGAAAAAAATGAGTGATTGAAGGTTTTGGGTAAACATTCTTGAGGGTGTCGATTGGTTGGATCTATACTAAGCCTGGAGAAGGCTTTGGTGTTAAATCTTCTACTACATCTTGTATTAAAGCATTCAGTGCAAGTTTTCAAATAAAAAATCAACCAAAAATTTGCCAAGATTGAGTTTCTTCAAAATTGACTAGGGATGTCAACGAGCCGAGTCGAACCGGCTCGCGAGTTGAAATTTTAGGCTCGGGCTTGGCTCGAGTAAAATGATCAAGCCTTTTTATAAGCCCGAGCAGGGCTGAGTAAAAGCTCGCCAAAAAAAAGGCTCGACTCGAGCTTTTGACTCAGGCCTTTCTGAGCCGAGCCGAGTCGCGTAGGCTCAGTGTTTTGCTGAATTTTTTTATTTTTTTCTTCTTCCTACAAACATGGCAGCAACCTGCTTGCCTTTAAAATATTATGTTTTTTTTTCAATAAATATAGGCTTGTAAGCTCGACACCCAAAAATGAGGCTCGGCCCGAGCATTAGCTCGATTCTTTCGAGCCTCGAGCCGAGCTACGAGTTGCCCGAGTTGACGAGCCCGATTGGCATTCCTAAAATTGACCAAACCTAAAAACATTGATTTCAGCCAAACCAGTCATCGATAGGATGAACGGAGGCTAGATCTTAACTTAGCAGGTAGAGGCTTTTCTCTCTATGTCGCGCATCGAGCGACAGCAAAGCGTGGTAATGATTCTAGAGGAGCTTCCTTTGGACAGGTTGTTCATTTTATCATTCTAAACAACTAATATCGTTATTTTTACATTTCAGATTAAACAATGGATTTTGGATGATTTTGCCCCATGATACTCGGCTTGCAATTATTGGTCAGTGGCATTGGTACATTTGCTGAAACTTTATGGCAAATAGTGGTGGCCCTAAAACATCATATTCGCATATCTTGATGTTTACTAACGTTTAGACATGGTCTACTCTACTAAATTGGCTTAGCCCATTTAAATTCTAGCACTAGCAAATCATTGTGTAGGGTGATAATAGGATTGAGGTTATCGCGTGCTAGAAATTAGGAACTATTATAATTGTTACATGGTTGAATTATTAATTTGATAAAATCAGTTTATTATCTTTGTCATATATTGTGTGTGAAATTGTATGGTTGGCATACTTTTTTGTTTCATCATTATTTCCATTAGAATATTTAGACCTTACCCATTTGAATATTCCCTTGATCTAAGATTAAGAATCTTACGAAATTCTGAGAATCTAGAACAATGTATATTGCCTGTTATCCTATGACTATTTTGTGCAGCTTAATTGTAATTTTTCACATTTTAATTGATTCTTAAAATGACAACTCGCAATTTTGATTTGAAAATTTTAACAAAAAATGTGATTTTTCAATATAGCAACAAAAGATGAGAAATATTTTAATCCAACAAAAAGTTTTAAAGGCCATTGGATGCAATTTTTCTGTTGATTTTTCAAAAAAAAAAAAAAACAAAAGGAAGAAATCGGTGAGCTTGCTTATACTTTAAACATTTTACACTTGCCTAATGCTATTTTGAGAAAAGTAGGTAAACTTAAAATTGGAAGACTTGTATTTGCTCAAATCTACTCTAAACAAGCTTGACTTTTTTTTAGTTTTAAAATGAATCTTGCAAATGATCTTGACGACAATTTAGACATGTTTAATAAACTTGTTCAAAATATTGTTAATTGTGAAGAGCTAATGTCTGAGACCTACAAAACTATAATTTTGCTTAATTCCAACACCTATAAATAAGTTAAGAATGTGATTAAATATGATAGGGACACCTTGATGCTTGAAATTGTTAGTGACTTGGAAATAAGGAGATGAAACTTGGAGTTGAAAAATATAATAAAAAAGTGGTGAGATTCACATGATGCGAGCTAAAACTCAATTTAGGCAAAACAATCACGATGGATATCAAAGTAGTGACAAGTCAAGTAATAATTGAGGTAAGAAAACATGCAAGGGTCGGTCTTGATCGAAATCTAGGACCAAGGTGAAGAAATGCTGTGGTTGCCGGAAAATGATGCATTTTATAAAAAATTGTCATAAAGAGAAAGGTAAGCAAAAGGTTAAACAGAGAGATGAAGTAAATGTGTTGTCTTTTACTTCTAGTGCTGGTGATGTTGAAGTATATATGATTACAAGACTTGTTATTTATACTGCTAAATTGAATCTAATTGTAAATTCCCTTTTGAATGAGCCGATACTTGATTTTGGTGCATTTTATCATGTCACATCTAAAAAGGATTTTTTGAAAACTTGCATGAATATAATGATGGACATGTAATGTGTGATAAATTTGCTTATACTGTTGCTGGGATTAGTAATATTACATTAACGTTTGACACTGATTTTTTATATACTTTGAAAGATGTTAGATACATTCTTGAATTATCGAGGAATTTATTTTCAGTAGGAAACTCGAGAAAGCTGACTTTACTAGTAAAATTGAAAATGGCTAAGGGTGCACTTGTTTCCATTAAGGGAAATAAGAAAAATAATATTTATATCACTACTACAGAAGTGATAAGAAGTTTAGATTTATCTATCTCTTCTGCCAAGGTTTAACACAAAAATGGCACAATAGACTTGCATGTGTAGTTATTAAGGGACTTAAGTTTCTCAATGAAAATGGTGCATTTTCTAATGATTGTTTGTTTGATTGATCATTATGTGATCACTAAGTACTTGATAAGTATCATAGAACTTCTTTTTCAACGGATGTTCACAAAATAAAAAGGCATGCTTGAATATGTGCATTCAGACTTTGAGATCCTGCTAGTAATCCTACCTTTGGTGGAATAGGCACTTCTTGTCTATTATTGATGATTACATGAGAAAAGTGCGGGTTTATGTTTTAAATGAAAAGTTTAACACTTTTCATAACTTTAATAATTGGAAAATGCAAGTTGAGAATCTAACTTGCAAAAGGATAAAGTTTTTGAGAATTGATAATGACTTAGAATTTTGGAAGACTAAATTTAATAATATGTGCAAAGAAAAAGAAATAACAAGGCATAAAACTGTTTCTTACACTCCCCAATAAAAGGGGTTAGCGGAAAGGATGAATAGAACTATACTTGATAAAATGCAATGGATGATGTTAAGTTCTAGAGGTCAAAAGTCATTTTGGGGCGAAATTGTTATGACTACTTGTTATTTGATTAATGCAACTCCATATTCTGTATTGAATGGTGATACTCCTCATAAAAAATGGTCTAGTAAGTTAAGTGATTTGTCTGTGCTTAAAACTTTTGATTGTGCTACATTTTCTCATCAAAGTGAAAAAAGTTTGAAACTAGAGTTAGAAAATGTACTATGAGGGT